TTCCTGCAGCACAGTGAGTGAACACAGGAGACACAAATGAGTCTGTGCTACTGATGACCACTGGACTGAAACTAAAGAAAAAACCTGATTCAATCCAGGGACAGATATTTACAAAGAGAGTGGCTCAGACCTCCAGGGTATTTGTCATGTTTCCTGTCTACACGTTCCACAGACTGAACTATACTTTCCCCAAGCAGATGAAACTCTGTCTTGAGGCTGATACTGAGTGAAATTCCTGCATTGATGTAAACAGCCTTTTTGCTTAGCTTTCAGTACCTTGGACTGGGTTGTCCATCCTGCAGTACCTATACCGTATATTCATCCAGATTCCCTGCCTAACATCCTCTTTCAGTATAAAAGTGATCTAAAAGTGGTTGTGTTAAATTCTATTTTGAGCTATTATACAATAAAATCTTTTTAATTTAAACAATTTTACTGTTTATTTGTTTTCTTACCACAAAATTGATTTTAGATTCTATAGAACATGTAAGGATAATTTGACAGGGGATCAAATCAATCAACAGTGGTGTAAATATTGCATGACAAATGGGAGACACTAAAGTCTCAATGTAAAAATCACATATTAGGGATTCATCTTCAGCTACAACTCCTTGCTTATCTGTATGCAGGTGTTCTTACTCCACAGTAGGAATAAGTACAATAATAGCTTAAGACATCTGACACCTACTCTGTTAACACAAGACACAGTGTGCACCCTGCTGGATAAGACCTGGAACTGAGCGCAGGCTTCATCCAGGTTAAAGTCTTTATACTCACATGTCCATTTGTATGTTGAGTCTCTGGTTACTGTGTTCATTCCTAATCTTCATATTGGAAGTGAAGAGATCCCTTCGTAGCGTGACTCCAAAGTCAGGGATTGGGGACTAAATCAAGTCCTTATTTTGTGCAGAAGTGACTTCCAAACATTAGCCACAGGTAAAATTAGGTTTCAGCAGGCTGAGTTGGTACAATAAAGTTATTATCTTCCAAACTAAATCTTTTCAGTATAAGATTTGATGTTTCCTTGCTGAGCTGTAGCACTGGAAACCTCATTGTCATTTTGAAAACAGCCAATAGATTTATAACTCAGACCGATGAAGCCTCATGATAACTTCACCGTTCAATGTGACATGTAAGTATTGTTTAGAAAGACATGAAAAAACATGAATATACACATATCCTCCTTATTACCACTGATCCAACTGATACAAGCTGGCTGCGCTGGATTTATGGGTCAGAAATGAATTGTAATTTTTAATATATTCATCCTTTAGCACTACATCACCTAGAACTTAAATCACAATAAACACAAGGGTGATTGACGAGCAAATGGATTTCCTTCCTAATAAAACACCACTAGTGTACACAAATATTTCTTTCACACTGTGGAAGGTTTCTTTTTTATGTAGTAAGCACTGAGGTAAAATGGCCCCATATTTTAATTTCTCATCTCTGAGAAACACAAATCCTGATTTGCGATCTAAAACTCAAACTCAAAAAAATATATTTTTGAATATTAATGTGGTTGGAGAAATACAGGTTGGGCCTTTAAATAGTAGAATAGAAAAAGAACTGGACTGTAAAAACAACCTTTCAACAGTAGTTAGACTTTGTATTTATTCACACAAAACATAATACATTTTCTTCAATAAGGCAACACAATACTGTATATACATACAATGATCTATATGTATACCATATTTAGATTTTATGTTGTTATTTCTTGACTAACAACATGTCATTCTTTACTATCACTAGCAAGTGTAAATAAATAGTTTAGCAAGTCATGTAAAAGAGTACCAGATGCGAAAACTTCAAGTCATACTGTTAGTACATCCAATGCAACAATCCTTTACTCAAATATTGATATATTTTAGCTGCAGTTGTGATTTTCTGAAAGCAGCTTAAAGGTTCTATGACTTACTGGAATATAAAATAACCATTTTAAGCAGTTAAAGGTGCCCTGTGGAGTTTTCTTGTATGTTTACATTCAGTGTTATTCACTAAAACTTGGGGTCTTCCTTCCTCATGAAACACTTGTAAAGCAGATTTTCAAAGTATCTAAACTCTGTGTTGTTTACATCAGTGTTTACTAGCTTGCAATTTTCTTCAATCCTGCCTTTGTTGGTGCATCTGTGTGAATTACTGCCACATGTAGATCAGTGGAACAGTGTGAAACCATTGGCAGGAATGTGTATTGAAAAACTGTTCTATAGCGATACTAGCGAAAAAAACTCCACAAAGAACCTTTAAAATCTCCAACATCAGTTAAAAAGTTGAACAAACATTATTTGAAAAAAACTAATTCCAAATATATTCCTTTTCACAAACACAAATGCTATGGCAATTTTTATTATTCCCACTAGCAATATAATATACATTAACACTGACATCATCATTAGGTGCTGGAGTGGGTGTCATTCCTAAACAACATGAGGTGATTGTGCCATGAAAACATTTTTGTGACTTTAAAAAATGTGAAGACCAAAAACTTTTTTTTTCGGTGAAAAATGTCCACAGTAATAAGCACATTGAATGCACTGTACAGAGTGACGTAAGGGGAAATGCTTTGCTAGTTGAATACCCATTCTCTTCACAGATAAGATTGTACAATCATTTACAAAAATATACTTCTATTCTGCATTACCAAATGACAGCAGTGATTAGTGGACAAGACATTAAGTGACATGAATAAAAATACACAAAAAGTTTAGAAACAGTGACAAGAAATAAGAAAAATGACATCAAACAATAGTATTATAATTTAGATCACGGCATACAAAGCACACAATACTGTATGCTCACAGGATACATAAGCAGAAGTAGATGTTCCCGATGCCCACGGCCGTGTCACTCAGCTGTTTTTGACCTGCTAGCATTCATTTGAAGGTTATGCTTCTGGTACGTTAACTAAAGCAGGCCAATGGAGCTGCTCTTTTGTCCTGTTTGCTTGTGCAATGTGATAAAAATTCTTAAAAACAAGCCTTAAAAACTGCTGATAAATTCAAACACCTGGGGCATCAAACACTCTGGGAATGTAAGGTAAGTGTGTTTTATACAAAATGGCCACATTAATTATGTCACTATAATCTTTCCAAATATGGTAACACTTTATTTTAACTCAATATAGTATTTATATGCAGTACATAAACAAGTAATAACACACTATAATGTAGTTGTAGCAGATATGAGGGCATTTTTAAGTGTTTATTGATCTGTTACTTCTCCTATGAATCATTTATAACTTGTGTATGAACAGTTAATGAATGTTTGATAACAAAGTATACAGTAACACATGATCAATCAATCATATACTGCTTATAAATGCTAATGTTACCCAAGATGTATAGTGAGTGTATGACTGATAAGGCAATGAAGTGACTATGATTTAACAAAAAAAGGGTTCTATCATTCATACTTTTTAATGTGTTGAGCTTTGGCCCTGACTTCCATTAGCATCACACTCATGAAATATTGAGATTATTCCTTACATTACATTACCACCTTACACTAAATCTCAAAATATGCACACACAAATACACACTCACAGACACATAAAGTAGGCAAGGGCATCGTCAACATCAATCTTCACGCACCGCATACTTGAACGGTTTCAATTCAATGGGATATATCTACTCACTCTGTTTAACAGGCTATGAAAAGGTGTGTTAGTCAAACGATCTGAAGCAGCATGAATATTGAGTAAACAATCGCCATAACAGGTAAATGCTAACAGCACCACTTTTGTGGAGTTGAAACAATTAGTGTAATAATTGATTAGTTGATTGACAGACAATCGTCAAAAATGTTCAAACACTTAACCGTTTACGTAAATTTTCCCTGGTTCCATCATAGCAAACTGAATTTCTTTGGGTTTTGAAACACTATTCAGACAAAACAAGAAATTTAAATATGTTAACTTGTTAAATTTTATAGATCAAAAAGTAAATTCATAAAGAAAATAGTCTGCAGATTCATTGATCATGAAAATAGTTGTTAGTAGCAGCTCTAGGTTTCTGTGTCCCAGTATGACACAAATGATAGGAGTAACAGTAACAGACTGTGAGACACCGGTATTGTTCTTCCACCTTATTTGCCGATTTGATTTTTTTTAAAGTAAGTTTCTAGCTCTCTGTATCTCTGTATCATCAAGAACAAAAAACTTTTTCTGAACCTTCAAAGAAACATCATGTTCAATCCCTTTGTGACATCAACCCTCCCTTCTACTGGAGTGACCTTGAGCAAAACACAAGCTGAATTTTTCAGGAAGTGTGTGAGTGTGCAAACTCTCAGCCCACTCATTTCTCCCTGTGTGATGTTTCACTCTTCGTGTGGACGGACAGACAGAATCGAACTCAACGAGTCTTAAATCTGGTAGGGTGGCCACTTCATCTTCTGTTGCCATGGAGACCACACGTAGCTTGATTGACCAATTAAGCCACAATTTGATTAAAACACTCAAGTAAAGCCAAATTAGCAGATTTGTACAGCTCGCCATCCGTATTCACCATCAGGCACAGTATTCCTTAACTTTATAGGCAGATTTTTATCTTTAAATAGAGAAGAATGGGGAATACAAATCAAGCTGTTGCCTGGAGACTGCACTGATAAATGAGATTCACTCACTGAATCTCTACCAGCTCCAGGAGTGCTGCTCTGTGGTGGACCCTGACCTCTAAACTCCATGTGAAGCGTTAAAGACATTTCTCCTATTTGACAAACCCTACAGCAACGCAAACACAGACGGAGAGAAGTCTCCTGGGTTCTGAAATGTAAATAAAAATGCAACGTAACCTATTACAGTGCGCACATCTGCAGCTAAATTCATCAAAAGATCCAGAATAGTCATCCTTGACAAACACACATGCATAGCAAACAGACACACACACACACA